CTGTAGTGATGATGGATGGATGGTGTTTTATATAGTGATGATGGATGGTGTTATATGTAGTGATGATGGATGGTGTTATATGCAGTATAGTGATGATGGATGGTGTTATATGTAGTGATGATGGATGGCGTTATATGTAGTGACGATGGATGGTGTTATATGTAGTGATGATGGATGATGTTATATGTAGTGATGATGGGTGGTGTTATATGTAGTGTTCATGGATGGTGTTATATGTAGTGATGATGGATGGTGTTATATGTAGTGATGATGGATGATGTTACATGTAGTGATGATGGATGTTGTTATGTGTAGTGATGATGTGTGGTGTTATATGTAGTGATGATGGATGGTGTTATATGTAGTGATGATCTATCTTCTATCTATATAAAACAAAGAAGTATGTCTGTTTGTTTGTGTGTGGTGTGTCCGCACGAGAATCTCGGAAACTACTTTATCGATCTGTAGTGATGATGGATGATGTTATATGTAGTGATGATGGAGGATGTTATATGTAGTGAAGATGGCCTAGTTCTTGTTCACGTTGCATATACCATGAAAAATATTTCCCTTTGCTCAATAACTTCTTTAATTTCAACTTAGATCCTAAAAGTTCAACAGACTTCTTTGGTAAATTCAAATCCCTAATCAGATCGATAAGTTCACTCTGGGTAAACGCCTCCGTTACCTGACGATGAATCATCGTCAGATTCTGATGACACGGACCGCAACACACCTGGCGGAATGGAATGGAACCTCAGGACCATGTGGCACTGGTCTCATGGCAGATGGAATCTTGTGATATTGATTCCGTGTTTTTTTTTTAATATATCCCCCTATCTTCACAGAGCAAAAAAAAAACAGTCACCACCCATATTTTTCGGCTCCCGCCATACCTTAAGGACTCCAAATGGCATAACTTTTTTCTTACCATATTTCCATAGTTTTAAACCTTCAACACAAGTGCGACATACTTTATGTGGCGCCCAAGGTTTATCTAAATCACCTATTTTCACTCCAAAGTAGGCAAAATATGCATTTTTTTCCGATGCGATTATTTCTTATCGTTGCTTACGCACAACAGATCACTCACATATGAAGTAGAATACATTTGGATTGTTCAAACGTCCACGAGAAGATATATTTACAACAGGAATAGTATCTTAGTGCGGAAAAACAAAGATTTAACATTACATCCACGAAGAAAAGAAACATCTTGGTTTGGTAATTCAATGAACGATTTTTCTCACGACTTATAATAGGAGCCTTATACACAGCACCGATTCGTATATTTTTCATTTTCATAATGATCTCGCACCATAACGCTTTATCATACAAATGACCTTTCAATAAATTTACATTGTCTACAAGAGAAATGAGAGAACCTCTACCAGGTTCATTCTGCACACCATCGAATTTACTATTTAACTCCCCCTCCCCCTCCAAAAAAAAAGATGGACTTGTATGTTTAACAGTAAATTAAATTTTAAATTTTAAATTAATTAATTGCATTAAGAGTTTACAAGCCTTATTATACCACTTAAGCACTGGACTGGTATTTATTTATTTCCCTTTATAATCTACATTTTATTATATTTCTAGCTTCACTCCATTTTCACTTCCAACAACTTAATTAACTAAATTATTATATATCCAAATGCATGGAAGACGAATATAATGCTACTATCAGTCACCACTCACCAGCTCTGCTCACCACGGAATTTCAGAGCGTTCTGGGGAGTGCCGTACGATATGTTGGGCGAACACTTCATTTTTACCTGGACTTCACTTTTAACTGCTACTCCCAGAGTTGCCAACTTAGCGACTTTGTAGCTAGATCTAGAGCTTTTTGTTTTTTTCTAGCGACATTTTAGAGCGATTTGCGACTTGTCGCAAATCTAGAGATATCCACAGAAATCTAGCGACTTTCTGGATACTTTTGGACTGTCCATGAAAACTCAGTTTTCCTAATTTCGAGCCATAATATATAGCAACGGGGTTACAGGGACAATAAATAATAAGAAAAGTTTAATACATTTGAACGGGTCGTGGTACAGAAGGAGGGACACGTCTATTTCCTGATCATTAACTCGAATACGCTGAATTGCTTCAAACATAGGTTGGATGCTCATATGAGCAATAGGGGTTGGGTGTAAACGGGACTGCCCAGTATGGGCCAATAGGCCCGCTGCAGTTTCCTCCATTCTTATGTTCTTATGTTATCACTTGATGTCAGCCCGTCCATGGCTAATGTTGCCGTGTCGTCATTTATTTGTCTGTTACCTTCGCCTTTGTAGCACCTGGGTAACTTACTTCTTTGTCAGATATGCAATATGAATTTCATTAATACGCTAAATTTTAAAGAATATTAGCAAAACATCTTATAGAATTAATTCTATCAAGCCTGCGTGGTTCCAAACTTCTCATACTCGTCCACCATGGGTGACCCATAGACTCCATACAGTTGCCCCGACATAGTCCCAATAGAAAAAGGGTAAGCCACAGTATTCGCAGCGATTTAGGAAGGAATGGCTCAGAGATGACAGATACAAAAATTGGCTTCTGGAGGTGCCAGGAGATAATAAAAAAGGATTTTGTAAATTTTGCAAGTGTACTTTGTCTGCTAAGTTGTGCGACATTGAAAAACACAAACACACTAAAAAACACAAGAAAGCAGAATAGCCGTTTAGTGCAGAAAGAGACAATTTTACCATTCAAGAAACTTGGTGAAGCAAAAAAAGTGGAGGGAACTCTAGCCATGTTTGTTGCTGAACATTGTTCTATTCGTGTGGTAGAACACTTAAGTGAAGTGTGTAAAGTATGTTTTAGTGACAGCAAGGCAGGCAGTGAACTCAAGTTAAAAAGATCAAAGCGTTCTGGGATAATATGCAATATTCTTGCGCCACATTTCACAGAAAATCTGAAAAATTATATTTTTACATAATGCATTTTATTTATACTCCGTCCATTATAGTCGGCATTATGAAAATATTATTTGCATCAAATTACTGAAGGGGGGGAATAATAGCTAGCGACTTTCCATGGAAGATTTAGCGACATTTAGCTACTTTTATGTACCAGCCTAGCGACATTTGAAAATCCGAGTTGGCAAACCTGGCTACTCCGGGTTGCTTTAGTATCGGGCTGGCAGTCTTAAGATGAGTATCTCCTCTCCTTTTGTATATTTCTAGTGGTATAATGTGTAAACCTTGCTGGACTTTTAAGAACACCAAGTACTATACTGTATAGTGATTTATATGTTATATCGTGGGTAGTCATATTTCAGAATTCCACGGTAGAATAACTTACGTGTTTATGAGTTATGTGTGTTGGATAACCACGTTGTCCACGTTAGTTTGTTAATTTAAATAAGTGTTTAGTCTTTACTTTTATGATTTTTATTTTGTCACTCGGTTGAGTCACTTGTTTGATCAGATTGAATTTGTGTTTGTTTTAATTTTGTACATAACTAATATATTTATTGTTTGTTTGTTAATATATGTACTTCATGATTTTCAATATACCCCATAGTAATGAGGTGATGATTTTGATGGGCTCTATTGACATTTGATACAAAGATAACCATAATTATAGAGTTAACTCAACTTAAAGAATAATATAAAGAGAAGTTGAATTTGAAGAGTGAGATTTTTTTATAATTGCCTACGAGGGGGCTAGTTTATTGGGCACCCCCCTTACATCCTGTGCAAGGTGAAGCGCAGAAGCTTTTACAGAGCCCATCTGGGAAGCATGCGTAGTTCATGCTTGCCTTTATGACTCATGCATTAAGGGCGTAAAAGCCTTTAGGGTCATGGGGTTTGTCAGCAAAGTGTGGCAGGTCCCTAACAATGTCAAGTGCCAGGCCTGTCACTAGGACAGTGATTCCCAATGTGGGGCCTACGCCCCACTGGGGGGCAATTCAATAATAATAGGGGGGCAATATGAAAAATATAGTAATATCAACATTTTTTTTATTTTACCCTATATGGGTAAAAATTATAAATTTATAGGGTAAAATTGTAATTACAACCTAGCTGAGCACAACAGCTTGTGCAATCTAGTCAAGTGTTCACCCACTAATGTTATCGTGCATCTGGCACCAGCTATATGCGTGGCTTCTGACTTGTTTAACTTTGCAGTTCTTCATCTGCTGTCAAGGAAGAAGGTGAGTTTTAGTCAGCTGCTCAACGCTCCCACTGAAGCTAAAAAAAACAGAGGAAACTAACTACAACCAAATTAAATGTGCACAATAAAGCATGGAAGCAGTATTGAATTAAACACAAATGCAAGTTTCATGTTGATATAGTTATCTGTCTCTGTTTTTTAGCTTCACTGAGAGGGCTGGTTAAAGTGCTTTTCATTATGATTATTGATCTTGTTATTCTCTGAAAATAATGTATAAAAATAATCATTCATTGATCTTGTCACAGTAACATTAATTTAAAACTGTGAATATAAAGCTCAATATTTACTTGAAATGGCAACTGCATATTGACATTGTGCCTTGTATGTTACAGAAGTTTGATATTAAATTTATTTTCCTACGTATATAAATATTTTATTTTCACTTTTCAGTTACCCCCATGATGCATAAAATGAACAGTGTGCACGCCAAAAAAAAGTTCGCCAGTATTCAGATGAGTACTTGCTGTTTGGGTTCATACCAGCGACTCATGATGAAAGGTTGCCTTTTTGTCTGTTGTGCCACCAATGTTTGACTAATGAATCCATGAAGAGAGGTCGTCTCGAAAATCATTTGAAGGCAAAACACAGTATTCATGTTAATTCAAAACTGGAGTATTTTAAATCCCTAAAGGAGAAATTTGAAAAAAAGATCAACAATAAATTCATTGTTCTCTGCAAGAAGTGCAAGCAAGGATCGTGGTCTTGAGGCTAGTTATGAAATTTCTCTTCTCATAGCAAAATGTGGCAAAAATCATACCGCAATATCAACTTTTCTGAAAGTAGTTCTTGAAAAAGATGACCAAGATCTCAAAAGCATGCCGCTCAGTAATAATACTGTTAGTAGCAGGATTGATGAAATGAGTTGTGATGTAGAAGTACAACTTGTTGAAAAATTAAAATATACAAATTTTTCAATACAGTTGGACGAATCAACTGTAAGAGATAGTGAAGCTCTGTTAATGGCCTATGTAAGATATGTTGATAATGGAGAATTTATTGAGGATATGCTATTTTGCGAAGCATTAGAAACCACCACTATTGCAATTGATATATATAAGAAATTAAAAACATATTTAGATGATAAGCAGATACCAATGGAGAACATTATATCTTGTGCTGCAGACGGTGCTCCAGTGATGATGGGCAAGAAAAATGGAGTTTTAAAATTATTGAAAGACGACAATCCCCAAATGTTGTTAGTGCATTGTGTTATTCATAGACAGAATTTAGTTTCCAAAAAAGTTTCCCCTGTTCTAAACGAGACATTGAATGCAGTTATAAAATGCATCAACACTATAAAAGCTAATGCCAAATGTGAGCGTCTTTTCAAACAATTTTGCAAGGATCAAAATGCAGACTATGTAAGATTATTACTTCATACTGATGTAAGGTGGTTATCAAATGGGAATTGCCTGAAAAGATTCATGGAATTATTTGATATTCTTAGTGAGTTCATTGGATGACAAACCTTATATGACTCTGTTACTGACAGTTGATGGTAAAGCACTTGTCAGTTATTTAGCAGATATATTTGAAAAACTCAATGTCTTAAATAAGGAGCTCCAAGGAACAAATATGACTCTTGTTAATTCAAAGGCCAAGATATTTGGCTTTATATCATTTCTGGAATTATCCCAAGAAAATATTTCTGTCAAAAAATTTGAACAATTTTATTGGCTGAATAAATGTGAGGGAACAGATGCTACTTGTCTTGTTATTGTGGAGCACTTAAAAATAATGGTAAGCGATTTCAACTTCAGATTTTCTGATTTGAAAGAAATTAATTATCCATCTTGGATGACTCAGCCATTGCTAGTGGATCTGTCAGATGTAACCATGGAGTATCAAGGAGAACTTTCAGAATTACAAAATGATGACTCGATTATAGCCCTGTTCAAAATAAAAGGAACAATGATGTGGCTCTGTGAAGAAACACAAGCTAAATATCCAAATACAAGTAGTTTGGCAAGAAAACTACTGTTACCATTCCCATCGTCATACTTAGTGGAATGTGGATTTAGTGCTGTGAATGACTTATTACTGAAGAAAAGAAACCGACTGGATATCACTAAACGAGGCGACTTGAGATTGAAATTAACAAAATTTCTGCCTCGGATAAAATCTCTTTGCAGTAGACATCAGGCTCAAGGGTCTGATTAATTGATTGTAATTGAATGTATTTAATCTGATGGTAGATATGTTATACACATTATAAAATGAATTTTATTTGATTAAATTTGAAGTTAAACCCTTTAGTTTTATTTGAAAGATACAATTTTTTATGTTATACTTCTTCAAAACTGATATTGTTATATCATACTAAACAATTAACGGGTGGGGGACATGAAGAAATTTGTGATAAAAAAGTGGGGCATGGTACTAAAATGGTTGGGAACCACTGCACTAGGAGGAGGGATATCTGGTTAGGGAGGGAAGAGGTGTAGATAACGGCTGGGGATCTGTAGGAGGAAGTCATAGGGCAAGTGAAGATGTAGTGAGGGAGGGTGTGAGAGTTGGGTTGGCCACAAAGTTTACAAACAGTGCGTCCTGGCTCAGGGTTGCCAATGTACTAAGCGTGGCGAAGTACACAGTGGGGGTGGAGGTGATATGGTGTGGTGGGACAGGTACAGTAGGGGTGGAGGGAGGCACATAGGAATTGACAATATTGAGGGACATACCTTTTAGTGTGATTGTGATGGTGTGTGATCGTCGACATGCCGGTGGGGTACGGGTAGCTGGGAGTGGTGTCCTCAGGTCCAATAGGTATCCCTGGTGGAGACAGCCCAAACACAGTAGGGGGAGCAGCTTGCGGTGGGTGGAGGACAGGTTGAGGCACCACGTGTCGTGAAGATGTGGCAGGACTTCGTTCGGGGGCAGCAGGACACACTAGGGCAGGCCCGGTAGGCGCTACACCAGTAGTGAAGACTGCCAGTGGTGGAGTAGGCCGTGAGCAGGGGCTCTCACAGGGGGATTACCAGCTTGTGTCAAACCAGAAGAGAGGAGTGACTGGGTGGCAACAGAGGGCAAGAGTAGGTCGGAGATGGTGTTACAGAGAGTAGCGAAGAGTTTTTCAATACGGTTGGTAAATTCTTGGAAGAGGGATATGATCTGTCATGTCACTGGAGGGAGGTTGTGTGGGGGCACTGGTGGGAGCACAAGGCCTGACAGCGTCAGAGTACAGACGGGGAGGAGGCCCGGGCTGTGTTGCAGCCAGGTGAGGCCAGGCAGGGGCAGGTGTTGTTGAAGAAGGCATTGCTGGAGACAGAGGTGGACACAGAGGGGTGTGGCGCGGAAGACTGGGGAGGGCGTTGTGGTAGATGCGGCCTTTGGGGAAGCTTTTCCCCTGGGACAGACGGGCGATTGGGGCATTGCCGTGAGTCAGCATTGTGCCGGCCGCCACAGTTACAACATCTGGGATCAACTACATAGCCCATACCACCCCTATTAAGGTGGTCTTTGATTTTCTGGGCACAGGCGGCGGAGTTATGGTTACGTGAACAGAAGCGACATCTGGGGCGATCACGCCGGCAGCAGGCAGTGAAGGTGTGACCCCAATGAGAACAGAAAACACAAAATGCAGGCCCAGGATGATAGGCTTCTGCATACATTGGGGGGAGGAGTGGATGGGCATCCACAGTGGTTGGGCACTCCCTTCCCTTCCACTTTACAATGACAGCAGCTTGTGGAGTTTTCCCCTCGGCAATGTCGACGTATACTGAGTATACTAAAATTAAAGTCACGCGCATCTTCGATGTCAGCGTATAAGAGGAAGCGTTTCACTAGGATGTGGCAACATTCATCAGCATCTACTGGGGGTGGGGGGGGGGCACCAGGACAATCCCTTCAAAGCCAACAGTACTAAATGTTTCATAGACCTCAGGAGTCTGACACTTGATAAAGTTCCGGTTCTTACCTTGTCGGAATTGAATGTTGAGACTGCTGTCTGCAGTAATTCATCATCCAATTAAAGCATTCCTCTACAGTTTTCAGAGAGTCCTTGGGGAAGTGTAGATTAAGCTTATGGTTGGCAGAGGGCAGGGTGATAGGGTCCGTGGTAATAGTGTTTCCACTCCGGCTAGTGTTTCCTGTAGAAACATTACCGTCACTGTCATAATCACTGGGGTCTGACTCTCGAAGGGTGTTGGATTCAATATGACAAAGCGAGTTGGCGATGGCATCTGTATCAGAGATGTCTGCGTCCATGACAGAGGCTCTTCTAGGACATTTATGTCGACCCCCCATGCTGGCAAAAATTTGCCGGCTGATGGCACCTTTGTAGGACGATCGGGAAGTCAAGAGCACCTATGTACACGCCTGTCCCCTTATGTGGTCACGCCACGACTGGTTGAATTTGAATTGCATTGTTACAACCTAAGAGGCCAAAGGTCGTAACAATTTGGCGACCTTGCCAGGATAGATCCGTTTATCACTCATTAACTATTAGGAATATTTAGATATAGACATTCTTTATTGATTAATCATGGCCACTTTTGATGTTGAGGAGTTCGTTTAGAATCCATCCGTTAAAATGTTGAAAGACTGTGCGCTGCGAAAGGGTGATTGGATGAGACTTGGTGATACATATGAAATTGAGTACCAACATAGTCAAAGGAAGTCTACGATTCAAAATGCAGTCCTAACTGAACTTGAGAATGAGGAGGTGCTACCGAGGGGGGCACTGACTTTGCGTGCATGTAATCCCAGTGAAGTTGTAGAGATAAGAAAGATAGAAATGGAGCATGAGTTGGCTTTGAAGGAAAGAGAAGAAAGGGAAAAAGGACGTAAAAGGCAGCATGAATTAGCGTAAGCACAGGCTAGCGGTAGAAGACGAGACTTACAGATTTTGTCTTTAGAATCTGAGATAAAATTGTTTGATGTTACAAAACATTAGAGACTTATGCCTGCCTTTGGCGAGGAGGATCCCGAAGAGTTTTTCATGCAGGTTGAGAAAATTACAAAGTCTTCTCAGTGGCCTGAAGAGTCGTGGATAATTATAATTCAAAGTGTGCTCACCTGGTTAGCCCGTTCAGCATTTCTGTCTTTGTCAAGTGAAGTTTGTCGTTGTTATGAGTTAGTGAAACAAGAAATTCTTATGGTGTATGAACTCATTCCTGAAATGTATAGAGTGAAACTTAGGACTATGAGAAAGACTGATGCACAGTCGTATATAGAATTTGTTTATTCATTGAGTAAAATGTGTAGAAGGTGGATAAAGTCTAGCAAGGTAGAAACTTTTGAGGAACTTGTTCAGTTGATGATTTTAGAACAGTTCAAAAGAGCCACTCCGAGAGATATACAATTGTACTTAGGAGAGAGAGATATTAGTAATGCCCATAAAGCTGCTGCATTAGCTGATAGCTATGACCTTACTCACAAAATGTATCCTGTTAAATCTCAAAATCACTCAGGTGGAAAGGGTTTTGTAACCAAGGAAAAGGGTGGTAGGCAGGATAAGTAGAGCTCCAAATTCTAGTAGAGTAAATTTTCGTGGAAACTCAGATGAGCTTTCCAAGACATATGCCAAGACTAAAGCATTTGTCTGCTTTTACTGTAAGAAACCAGGTCATGTGATTGCGAATTGCCCTAAACTGAAATCAAAGAAGGAAGAGCCAGTGCTCTCATTCAGACCTCTAGAGAAGTTTGACAAAACTTTAGTTAGTAATCGCCCAAAGAGGGATTCTTTTGAACCTTTCATCTTTGATGGTTCAGTTGCAGTTGAAGAATCAGGTGATCAGTACCCTGCGAAGATTTTGCGTGACACAGGTGCTTCTCACAGTATTCTGTTAAAATGATCTGTTCCCTGCGTGGAAGATTCCTATACTGGAGGGCATTTGGTGCTTAAGGGTGTCGGTGGAGTGATCACTTTTCCTTTGTGTAGGGTGTATTTGAGAACTCAACTTAATAATAATAATAATAATAATAATAATAATAATAATAATAATAATAATAATTAACGGTTGATTGAAAAAGTTCTGCAGCCCGAAGGCTGGAAACATACATTGGACATAAAAGACTTACTACATACAGTGACATTCGTGGTTTAACAAAAGCCTTCATTAGAGAAGGGTAAAGGAACATACAGTGAACATGCAGATTAATGTTTACAGTGGAGGTCACGAAGATCATGTGAGCTGAAGTGTTGAACAGAAGACACGTAGTGTAGTAACTCCCTCACAAATGGCGTTATGAGGGGCATCACGAAGAGTAGTAGGTTCCTCACAGGTTAGGTTAGGTGACTGGTTGGGTGACTATTGGTGTTCAAGATTCTCTTCCTGTGACGGGTTATTTTTTGTTGGGTAATGATATTGCAGGAGCCAGCGTGGTGCCAGATCCTGTGGTATCTTCGACTCCAACAATGGAAAATAATACTTGTTTAATTGAAGAAGAATACTCAGATTTATTTCCTTTATGTGCAGTTACAAGGAGCCAGACTTCGGAATAAGGTACAGACCGCTCCTTCAGTTGACCCTGAGCTTTGGATTGCTGATACTAGTGCACTTGGCAATGATGTAAATGATTAGGTATTGAGAATTTGTTTGGCAGTCAGGATGATTCATTTGAGTGTGGCATTCGTGGAAGAGATGTGAGTGAAGCTAAAGATTCAGTTAACATTCATTCCCAAAAATCTGAAGCTGATATTTCTTCTAGTGACAACAATACCATTCAGAAAGTACCTGTCACTAGGGAAAAACTGATAGATGATCAGCAGACTGACCCCGAATTAGCTGAACTATTTAGGAATAGGGTGTGTCATAGGAGGGAAGATCAGCTAAAACTAATGGCCCATCGCTTTTTTGGTAGATTTTAGCGCATAAAAACAGAAAAAAATTTCAGTTTCAATATTTTGCAACCTTTTGCTAGGTAAATTTTAGCGTGAAATTTATCGAAAATCTAACGTACAGCTGCATTAGTGCATTACAATTAAATAGTGAACATTGCTTTCTGACTTCATTCTTTAACAACCCAACTAACAATATTTTTTTTCTGTTTCAGATTCTGATGCATTTATAAGTTGATAATATTTGCGATGGCTGCTTGTGTCAGGACGAGGAACCAAAAATCCAGCCATCTCAGTCACTATCTTGGGTCTGGGAGAGAGCTCCTGAAGTCGGAGTTGCCTACATTGAGAGATGCTTTGAGATACGGTGTTTTAATCAGGC